GAATACATGGGAGGAATACATGGGATGGGAGGAATACATGGGAGGAATACATGGGACGGGAGGAATACACAGGAGGAATACATGGGATGGGAGGAATACATGGGAAGAATACATGGGAGGAATACATGGGATGGGAGGAATACATGGGATGGGAGGAATACACAGGAGGAATACATGGGATGGGAGGAATACATGGGAAGAACACATGGGAGGAATACATGGGATGGGAGGAATACAAGGGAAGAATACATGGGATGGGAGGAATACATGGAAAGAATACATGGGATGGGAGGAATACATGGGATGGGAGGAATACATGGGAGGAATACATGGGATGGGAGGAATACAAGGGAAGAATACATGGGAGGAATACATAGGATGGGAGGAATACATGGGAGAAATACATGGGATGGGAGGAATACATGGGAGGAATACATGGGACGGGAGGAATACATGGGAGGAATACATGGGAGGAATACATGGGAGGAATACATGGGATGGGAGGAATACAAGGGAAGAATACATGGGAGGAATACATGGGATGGGAGGAATACATGGAAAGAATACATGGGATGGGAGGAATACATGGGATGGGAGGAATACAAGGGAAGAATACATGGGAGGAATACATGGGATGGGAGGAATAGATGGGAGGAATAGATGGGAGGAAATACATGGGATGGGAGGAATACATGGGATGGGAGGAATACATGGGAGGAATACATGGGATGGGAGGAATACATGGGATGGGAGGAATACATGGGAGGAATACATGGGAGGAATACATGGGATGGGAGGAATACATGGGATGGGAGGAATACACAGGAGGAATACATGGGATGGGAGGAATACATGGGAAGAATACATGGGAGGAATACATGGGATGGGAGGAATACAAGGGAAGAATACATGGGATGGGAGGAATACATGGAAAGAATACATGGGATGGGAGGAATACATGGGATGGGAGGAATACATGGGAGGAATACATGGGATGGGAGGAATACAAGGGAAGAATACATGGGAGGAATACATAGGATGGGAGGAATACATGGGAGAAATACATGGGATGGGAGGAATACATGGGAGGAATACATGGGACGGGAGGAATACATGGGAGGAATACATGGGAGGAATACATGGGATGGGAGGAATACAAGGGAAGAATACATGGGAGGAATACATGGGATGGGAGGAATACATGGAAAGAATACATGGGATGGGAGGAATACATGGGATGGGAGGAATACAAGGGAAGAATACATGGGAGGAATACATGGGATGGGAGGAATACATGGAAAGAATACATGGGATGGGAGGAATACATGGGAGGAATACATGGGATGGGAGGAATACATGGGATGGGAGGAATACATGGGAGGAATACATGGGATGGGAAGAATACATGGGATGGGAGGAATACATGGGATGGGAGGAATACATGGGATGGGAGGAATACATGAGAGGAATACATGGGATGGGAGGAATACATGGGAAGAATACATGGGAGGAATACATGGGAAGAATACATGGGAGGAATACATGGGAGGAATACACGGGAGGAATACATGGGAGGAATACATGGGATGGGAGGAATACATGGGAAGAATACATGGGAGGAATACATGGGATGGGAGGAATACATGGGAAGAATACATGGGATGGGAGGAATACATGGGAGAAATACATGGGAGGAATACATGGGAGGAATACATGGGGGGAATACATGGGATGGGAGGAATACACGGGAGGAATACATGGGAGGAATACATGGGAGGAATACACGGGAGGAATACATGGGAGGAATACATGGGAGGAATACATGGGAGGAATACATGGGAGGAATACATGGGATGGGAGGAATACATGGGAAGAATACATGGGAGGAATACATGGGGGGATCGCTGCTCCCTGACTCCGAGTCCTTCTACTTCTGTATCATTCTGCCAATGGACGATTGGGAGGATTTCTCCGATCACGTTGATTGATGATCGCCATGATTCTACTTTCTCCGCGGGGTGCGAGGGATCGCATGGACAGCAATTGCTTTGAAAAGACAAAACGTTTGTTGCATGGGTTCCTAACCAGGATTGTGGAAATGTTCAGGTAAGACAACGGCGGACGCGCTGTGCGTGCGTTGTATGGAAGACGCATTTTAGGGCTCATTCACATGGGCAGATATGTATCCTCTGCACAGAACGCAGAGCTAGCCGAAGATCGCACTTCAGAGACGCTCCGAATTCTCGCCTTTAGCCGCACAGCCTGACGTTCATTTAAATAATAGACTACGCATGTGCACATGTGCGCACGGGCTCATTCACCCACGCAGGAAAAAAACGCCATCTTTAGATGCACACAGCGAATAGTTTTGTTCTCATCTATGTAAATGAGGCACTACAGCGATCAATGAGCCCATACACACAGCTGCGCCTGCATGCATAAACGCACACGTGTCATAATTCAGGGCAAGTACGCACCTTGCATGCGCTGCGCGCTCCTGTGTGATTCACCTGCTGTTCTGTGCAGTGCGATTTCAGCTCATGAATAGGCAAAAAATCTCACTGCACCAAAAGCAGTGCATGCATCAATTTTTTAAAATGCACTGCGACTGGATCACATGGTACAAAAGTACCAGGCAAGCAAGTGTGGGCAAACGCACTGAGTTTGGGGTGTCATTAGCTTTCTATTGATCACAAATAGAGTGCATTTTGCATGCTGTCGGGGTGCGGGGTGAACCGGCCCTCATTGGAATGAAAGAAGAATGGTACGTGTGCAAATGTTCTACGCATCTATCCATCTACAATCTATCTATCTATCTGGACGTGGTATACTTGGACAGAGGGGTGGCTGTGGATGTGGTATACTTGGACAGAGGGGTGGCGGTGGACGTGGTATACTTGGACAGAGGGGTGGCTGTGGACGTGGTATACTTGGACAGAGGGGTGGCGGTGGACGCGGTATACTTGGACAGAGGGGTGGCGGTGGACGCCATATACTTGGACAGAGGCGTGGCGGTGGACGTGGTACACTTGGACGGAGGGGTGGTTGTGGACGTGGTATACTTGGACAGAGGGTGGCAGTGGACGTGGTATACTTGGACAGAGGGTGGAGGTGGACATGGTATACTTGGACAGAGGGGTGGACGTGGTATACTTGGACAGAGGGGTGGGCGGTGGATGTGGTATACTTGGACAGGGGGGGGCGGTGGATGTGGTATACTTGGACAGAGGGGGTGGCGGTGGACGTGGTATACTTGGACAGAGGGGTGGCGATGGACATGGTATACTTGCACAGAGGGTGGTGGTGGACGTGGTATACTTGGACAGAGGAGGGTGGCTGTAGACGTGGTATACTTGGAAAGAGGGGTGGCTATGGACGTGGTACACTTGGACAGAGGGGTGGCAGTGGACATGGTATACTTGGACAGAGGGGTGGATGTGGACATGGTACACTTGGACAGAGGGGTGGCGGTGGACGTGGCATACTTGGACAGAGGGTGGCGGTGGACGTCATACACTTGGACAGAGGGGTGGTGGTGGACATGGTATACTTGGACAGAGGGTGGCGGTGGACGTGGTATACTTGGACAAAGGGTGGCGGTGGATGTAGTAGTACACTTGGACAGAGGGGTGGCGGTGGATGTGGTATACTTGGACAGAGGGGTGGCTGTGGACGTGGTACACTTGGACAGAGGGTGGTGGTGGACGTGGTATACTTGGACAGAGGGGTGGCTGTAGACGTGGTATACTTGGAAAGAGGGGTGGCTATGGACGTGGTACACTTGGACAGAGGGGTGGCAGTGGACATGGTATACTTGGACAGAGGGGTGGATGTGGACATGGTACACTTGGACAGAGGGGTGGCGGTGGACGAGGTATACTTGGACAGAGGGTGGCGGTGGACGTGGCATACTTGGACAGAGGGTGGCGGTGGACGTCATACACTTGGACAGAGGGGTGGTGGTGGACATGGTATACTTGGACAGAGGGTGGCGGTGGGACGTGGTATACTTGGACAAAGGGTGGCGGTGGATGTAGTACACTTGGACAGAGGGGTGGTGGTGGACGTGGTACACTTGGACAGAGGGGGTGGCGGTGGATGTGGTATACTTGGACAGAGGGGGCTTGGACAGAGGGGTGTGGACGTGGTACACTTGGACAGAGGGGTGGCGGTGGGACGTGGTACACTTGGACAGAGGGTGGCGGTGGACGTGGTATACTTGGACAGAGGGTGGCGGTGGACGTGGTATACTTGGACAGAGGGGTGGCGGTGGACGTGGTATGCTTGGACAGAGGGGTGGCGGTAGACGTGGTATACTTGGACAGATGGGTGGCAGTGGACGTGGTATACTTGGACAGAGGGGTGGCGGTGGACGTGGTATACTCGGACAGAGGGGTGGTGGTGGACGTGGCATACTCGGACAGAGGGGGGGGTGGTTGGCGGTGGACGTGGTAAACTCGGACAGAGGGGTGGCTGTGGACGAAGTATACTTGGACAGAGGGGTGGTTGTGGACGTGGTATACTTGGAGAGAGGGGTGGTTGTGGACGTGGTATACTTGGACAGAGGGGTGGTTGTGGACGTGGTATACTTGGAAAGAGGGGTGGGCGGTGGACGTGGAATACTTGGATAGAGGGGTGGTTGTGGACGTGGTATACTTGGACAGAGGGGTGGCGGTGGACGTGGTAAACTCAGACAAAGGGGTGGCGGTGGACGTGGTATACTTGGACAGATGGGTGACAGTGGACGTGGCATACTTGGACAGAGGGGTGGTTGTGGACGTGGCATACTTGGACAGAGGGGTGGTTGTGGACGTGGTATACTTGGACAGAGGGGTGGCGGTGGATGTGGTATACTTGGAGAGAGAAGTGGCGGTGGATGTGGTATACGTGGACAGAGGCGTGGCGGTGTACATGGTATACTTGGACAGGGGGGTAGTTGTGGACGTGGTATACTTGGACAGAGGGGTGGCGGTGGACGTGGTATACGTGGACAAAGGGGTGGCGGTGGACATGGTATACGTGGACAGAGGGGTGGTGGTGGACATGGTATACTTGGACAGAGGGGTGGGGACGTGGTATACTTGGACAGAGGGGTGGACGTGGTATACTTGGACAGAGGGGTGGCGGTGGACGTGGTATACTTGGACAGAGGGGTGGATGTGGTATACTTGGACAGAGGGGTGGACGTGGTATACTTGGACAGAGGGGTGGCGGTGGACATGGTATACTTGGACAGAGGGGTGGATGTGGTATACTTGGACAGAGGGGTGGCGGTGGACGTGGTATACTTGGACAGAGGGGTGGCGGTGGACGTGGTATACTTGGACAGAGGGGTGGCGGTGGACATGGTATACTTGGACAGAGGGGTGGTCCAGGAAGAATCTGGGGGGGTCACTGGGTGAAGGATCTGGGGGGTCAATGGTGGAGAAGGATCTGGGGGAGGTCAATGGTGGAGAAGGATCTGGGGGGGGGGTCAATGGTGGAGAAGGATGTGGGGGGGGGGTCAATGGTGGAGAAGGATCTGGGGGGTCAGGGTTGGAGAAGGATCTGAGGGGGGGTCAATGGTGGAGAAGGATCTGGGGGGTCAGGGTTGGAGAAGGATCTGAGGGGGGGTCAATGGTGGAGAAGGATCTGAGGGGGGGTCAATGGTGGAGAAGTATCTTGGGGTTGTGGCAGATCACAAGCTGTGGCTTCTAAAGCGAACAAAATCCTTTCCTGTATTAGGAGAGGTATAGACTCCAGAGAGAGAGATATCACCCCCCCCCCCCCCCCCCCCCCCCGGGTGCAAATTCATTAGTAAGACCTCATCTGGAATATGCAGTTCAGTTTTGGCTCCAATTCACAAAAAGAACATTGGGGAACTGGAGGAAAAAACAGAGAAGGGCAACCAAACTGATACAAGGCATGGAGGAGATCAGCTATGAGGAAAGATTAGAGGAACTGAATGTATTCTCTACTGAGAAGAGGAGATTAAGGGGGGGATATGATCTCCATGTATAATACATAAGGGGGGATATGATCTCCATGTATAATACATAAGGGGGGATATGATCTCCATGTATAATACATAAGGGGGGATATGATCTCCATGTATAATACATAAGGGGGGGATATGATCTCCATGTATAATACATAAGGGGGATATGATCTCCATGTATAATACATAAGGGGGGATATGATCTCCATGTATAATACATAAGGGGGATGTGATCACCATGTATAATACATAAGGGGGGATATGATCTCCATGTATAATACATAAGGGGGTGATATGATCTCCATGTATAATACATAAGGGGGATGTGATCACCATGTATAATACATAAGGGGGGGATATGATCTCCATGTATAATACATAAGGGGGGGTATGATCTCCATGTATAATACATAAGGGGGAGATATGATCTCCATGTATAATACATAAGGGGGATATGATCTCCACGTATAATACATAAGGGGGTGATATGATCTCCATGTATAATACATAAGGGGGATGTGATCACCATGTATAATACATAAGGGGGGGATATGATCTCCATGTATAATACATATACATAAGGGGGGGATAATGGGGGGATCTCCATGTATAATACATAAGGGGGGATATGATCTCCATGTATAATACATAAGGGGGGATATGATCTCCATGTATAATACATAAGGGGGGGATATGATCACCATGTATAATACATAAGGGGGGATATGATGTCCATGTATAATACATAAGGGGGGATATGATCTCCATGTATAATACATAAGGGGGGATATGATCTCCATGTATAATACATAAGGGGGGATATGATCTCTCCATGTATAATACATAAGGGGGATATGATCTCCATGTATAATACATAAGGGGGGATATGATCTCCATGTATAATACATAAGGGGGGATATGATCACCATGTATAATACATAAGGGGGATATGATGTCCATGTATAATACATAAGGGGGGATATGATCTCCATATATAATACATAAGGGGGGATATGATCTCCATGTATAATACATAAGGGGGGGGATATGATCTCCATGTATAATACATAAGGGGGGATATGATCTCCATGTATAATACATAAGGGGGATATGATCTCCATGTATAATACATAAGGGGGGATATGATCTCCATGTATAATACATAAGGGGGGATATGATCTCCATGTATAATACATAAGGGGGGATATGATCTCCATGTATAATACATAAGGGGGGGATATGATCACCATGTATGATACATAAGGGGGGGATATGATCTCCATGTATAATACATAAGGGGGGATATGATCTCCATGTATAATACATAAGGGGGGATATGATCTCCATGTATAATACATAAGGGGGGGATATGATCTCCATGAATAATACATAAGGGGGGGGATTGCTGTAGGAAAGTCCTGGATTCTTTCTCGGATACACAGAATATAACTGGATATAACATTTATAGGGAAAGTGGATCCCGGGAATATCCGATTGCCTCTCGGGGGATCAGGAAGGAACGTTTCCCTGCAGGAGGAGATTGGATCGTGCTTTGCTGGGTTTTTGCCTTTTTCTGGATCAGCTGTGGGTGGAGGATTATAAGTTTTTTGTTTTTTTTAATGGTTGAACTGGATGGACTTTGGTCATTTTTCAGCCAGACTAACTATGTAACGATGTAACTATGTGGCTCTATGTATACGGTATATATCATTGTATACAGTATTTGGAACTGCTGTCTTTTAATCTTAAAAAATGAAGTTCCTCTTTACGCTCCCTCCTCTATGTTATGTTAAATGAGGGGGGGTGGAGTCTGTGTATATCATCATTTACCCGCATGGGACTGCGCTGGCAGATCTCATCAGTGAGCTGGGTGTGCACGCCGTCTGTCCTAACAAAGGGTTAAAGATCCCCAGGCCCGGGTGATACATTGCATGGCCCCCAGTCTGTATATTGGAAGCCACTCTGAGCAACAGAAACTGCCTGGAGGGTCCTCTGTGTAACCCCCCCATAGAGAGGTTGAGAAGAAACTTCACTGGAATGATATTTGGTGCACTGTGTGTATGTGGGGGGGGGGGGGGGGGGGGGGTCCACAAATGGACTGCAAAGATGGAGATACACTTTAAACTGCATGCTGTAAACTGTACGACTCTCTGGGTTCTACAATCTCCCCGGATCTGCAATGTACAGTGTGTGGGGTTGTCTGACAGATATAAAAGGAATACATTTAGAAATATCATCCCTCTGGACTGCGATCTGTATGTTCCGGGTGATAATAGTTCTAGAACATTCTATGATCAGAATTCTCTGACAACCGTCTGTATATCATCCGATGTGTTCATATCCACGCCGCTCTCTTTTTTTTTTTTTTTTTTTTTTTTTTTTTTTTTTTTTTTTTTTTTTTTTTTTTTTTTTTTTTTTTTTTTTTTTTTTTTTTTTTTTTTTTTTTTTTTTTTTTTTTTTTTTTTTTTTTTTTTTTTTTTTTTTTTTTTTTTTTTTTTTTTTTTTTTTTTTTTTTTTTTTTTTTTTTTTTTTTTTTTTTTTTTTTTTTTTTTTTTTTTTTTTTTTTTTTTTTTTTTTTTTTTTTTTTTTTTTTTTTTTTTTTTTTTTTTTTTTTTTTTTTTTTTTTTTTTTTTTTTTTTTTTTTTTTTTTTTTTTTTTTTTTTTTTTTTTTTTTTTTTTTTTTTTTTTTTTTTTTTTTTTTTTTTTTTTTTTTTTTTTTTTTTTTTTTTTTTTTTTTTTTTTTTTTTTTTTTTTTTTTTTTTTTTTTTTTTTTTTTTTTTTTTTTTTTTTTTTTTTTTTTTTTTTTTTTTTTTTTTTTTTTTTTTTTTTTTTTTTTTTTTTTTTTTTTTTTTTTTTTTTTTTTTTTTTTTTTTTTTTTTTTTTTTTTTTTTTTTTTTTTTTTTTTTTTTTTTTTTTTTTTTTTTTTTTTTTTTTTTTTTTTTTTTTTTTTTTTTTTTTTTTTTTTTTTTTTTTTTTTTTTTTTTTTTTTTTTTTTTTTTTTTTTTTTTTTTTTTTTTTTTTTTTTTTTTTTTTTTTTTTTTTTTTTTTTTTTTTTTTTTTTTTTTTTTTTTTTTTTTTTTTTTTTTTTTTTTTTTTTTTTTTTTTTTTTTTTTTTTTTTTTTTTTTTTTTTTTTTTTTTTTTTTTTTTTTTTTTTTTTTTTTTTTTTTTTTTTTTTTTTTTTTTTTTTTTTTTTTTTTTTTTTTTTTTTTTTTTTTTTTTTTTTTTTTTTTTTTTTTTTTTTTTTTTTTTTTTTTTTTTTTTTTTTTTTTTTTTTTTTTTTTTTTTTTTTTTTTTTTTTTTTTTTTTTTTTTTTTTTTTTTTTTTTTTTTTTTTTTTTTTTTTTTTTTTTTTTTTTTTTTTTTTTTTTTTTTTTTTTTTTTTTTTTTTTTTTTTTTTTTTTTTTTTTTTTTTTTTTTTTTTTTTTTTTTTTTTTTTTTTTTTTTTTTTTTTTTTTTTTTTTTTTTTTTTTTTTTTTTTTTTTTTTTTTTTTTTTTTTTTTTTTTTTTTTTTTTTTTTTTTTTTTTTTTTTTTTTTTTTTTTTTTTTTTTTTTTTTTTTTTTTTTTTTTTTTTTTTTTTTTTTTTTTTTTTTTTTTTTTTTTTTTTTTTTTTTTTTTTTTTTTTTTTTTTTTTTTTTTTTTTTTTTTTTTTTTTTTTTTTTTTTTTTTTTTTTTTTTTTTTTTTTTTTTTTTTTTTTTTTTTTTTTTTTTTTTTTTTTTTTTTTTTTTTTTTTTTTTTTTTTTTTTTTTTTTTTTTTTTTTTTTTTTTTTTTTTTTTTTTTTTTTTTTTTTTTTTTTTTTTTTTTTTTTTTTTTTTTTTTTTTTTTTTTTTTTTTTTTTTTTTTTTTTTTTTTTTTTTTTTTTTTTTTTTTTTTTTTTTTTTTTTTTTTTTTTTTTTTTTTTTTTTTTTTTTTTTTTTTTTTTTTTTTTTTTTTTTTTTTTTTTTTTTTTTTTTTTTTTTTTTTTTTTTTTTTTTTTTTTTTTTTTTTTTTTTTTTTTTTTTTTTTTTTTTTTTTTTTTTTTTTTTTTTTTTTTTTTTTTTTTTTTTTTTTTTTTTTTTTTTTTTTTTTTTTTTTTTTTTTTTTTTTTTTTTTTTTTTTTTTTTTTTTTTTTTTTTTTTTTTTTTTTTTTTTTTTTTTTTTTTTTTTTTTTTTTTTTTTTTTTTTTTTTTTTTTTTTTTTTTTTTTTTTTTTTTTTTTTTTTTTTTTTTTTTTTTTTTTTTTTTTTTTTTTTTTTTTTTTTTTTTTTTTTTTTTTTTTTTTTTTTTTTTTTTTTTTTTTTTTTTTTTTTTTTTTTTTTTTTTTTTTTTTTTTTTTTTTTTTTTTTTTTTTTTTTTTTTTTTTTTTTTTTTTTTTTTTTTTTTTTTTTTTTTTTTTTTTTTTTTTTTTTTTTTTTTTTTTTTTTTTTTTTTTTTTTTTTTTTTTTTTTTTTTTTTTTTTTTTTTTTTTTTTTTTTTTTTTTTTTTTTTTTTTTTTTTTTTTTTTTTTTTTTTTTTTTTTTTTTTTTTTTTTTTTTTTTTTTTTTTTTTTTTTTTTTTTTTTTTTTTTTTTTTTTT